AGTTGACGGACGGCCGACGGCCGCTGCAGTACGGCACAAGCTCACTTGGCCCTTTGGGCCAGGTGAGCTAAAAATTAAACAAATTCATGGTTCTGAAGATATATAGCAATGTACATCTTCATCCCTAATAACATACATCAGGCTGAAAATATCTATTGAATAAACCTGACTGACTGGGGATTAAAATACTCATGCACTCAAAATGCAGTAAAGTATTGAAAGTTTGAACTTTATTTTATCGTTTTTAACTTCCAGAGCTTTAGCATAGACAGTCGTCCATTAGTATTGGTATTTCTGCTTTCACAAAAATGTTGGCAATGTTTATGTCTGATCAATATCACAACAATTCAAGTTATGTAGAATACTTTTATGAATCCCAGACCAGGAATTTGTTCAAGTTACGAGTAACATCATGGATGAAAGTTTCAAAATAAAATGAATCTCAAACAAAACAACGAGTCCACAACTCATACTTCTGTGATCTGTCAAGACAGACAATATTTTATAATTCTATAAAGTGTAGGAAAAAATGGCCTGTGTCTTCACTTAATTAAAGAGTGCTTGTATAATCCAAATTTGATCAAAATCTGTGTACTTGTAAGCAACAGAAGCTGGAAGTAAAAATGAATAACAGTACTGACCATACTTGTTACTATGGGCCTACCTAAAGTATTCAGAGGTTTACTATTTTGCATGAAAAATTAATTGTTTATTTTGTTTTTCAAAAACATCATTTGATTTTCTATGATTAAAATAATACAAAAATGTTACTTATTTAAGCCAATTACAAAAAATATTGTGGTTTCGCTAACCATATACATACCCATGATTTTTGTGCCTACCCTAAAGCGTTAATTAGCATTTAGTGATATGCACTGTTAAAGTCAGAACTCCTGCTCTATATAAGCATAGTGAAAATATCCCCCCCCCCCCTCCCCCCCAAAAAAGAATATGTCTACCTACAGTACCAACCCTATTTTTTCTGAGGATGATAGCAGAAACACAAGTAATTTGTTTTGCCTGATTATATTGCAGTTCTTTACAAACATATTTTGTTAAACATGGACTCTGTCTCATGACGTACTACATGTATATGTAGCTACACATCACTGCCTCTCACCTTTTATTAAGGCCTGAATTAAAATATGGGCTGTTTCCCTATTTACTAACTACATATAAGAAGAGAATTGAAGATTTCATTAAATATTTTGAATATTTAATGAAATCTTCAATTCTGTTTCTTATATGTAGTTAAATAAACTGTTGAATATATAGTCATTCGTTCATTTTGTTTTGTAGTATGTCAGCTTCAACAAACCATTGCAAATGTTTACTTTTGTCAGTGTATATTATCAAAATCAAAGCATGCAACGTTTGATTATCAAAACATACATTGTATTTCAAAATTCTTTATTAAAACTAGCAAAACAAATGTCACTGTAAAATAAAAATAAAATAAAAATAAAAAATACCTATCCAACCCAAACTTAAAACCTAGGTGCACGTGGTATTCAGGCAAAGAAACATTATCCAGGAATGTATATACTAATGTCTACTTTGTAGCTACAGAAACCAATCTAATGCATGTTTTACACTGCAATTAATTAGTGCACCAAGGTCAGAGGCCTTGTAGGTTTCATATGAATGGCCCTACACTGTGTACACTATATATATTATAGCCATTAAATCCATATTCATCTGGCCAACCGCTCCAATCAATATCTATAACACAGGAGGAGGCTAGGAGATCGTAATGACCTAGCAACACTAGTGTACATAAAGGAATAGTGTGTAAATATACTGTACACCGTAAACGTGTACATTGTTTATTGAACTTAATTATCCATGTATATATATCTAGTATTATATAATACTGAAGTACTGTATTTAATTAGGCCCCAAAAATATGTATGTTTCATGTAACATGACTGAAAAAAGTAGGGTTGGTCGGTCAAGATTTATTTCTGTTTTATTTCTTTTATTTTATTTTTATTTTTTGAGGGTGGACTGGTGCTAATTAAAAAAAAAAAAAAATCACTGAACATATCTTGAGGTCTTTTAAATCATTATTTGGGATTTGAATTTGGTTTTGATACCAGCTTATGAAGCAGAGAGGTTATATATACATAGCTGCCTTGTTTGTTTGTCCATCAATTTGTTTGCATCTGGTGGACAAGTTATCCCAACACTGGATGGAGTGTGTTTAAGTGAAATAAAATTATTAGGGTCGAGGTCAAAACTAGCGTCGGTGGGGACACCAGCTGAAATTAAATTAACTTTTTTGTGGCCTAATCTGGCACTAACTTAAGTCCATGCCTGGTTATAATAATAATTATAAGTAAGTCCATCAATATTTATTGCAGTTCAATAGAAAAGCCAACTCACCCACTTTCATTGTCCTCAATAAACTAAAAAAAAAACTCCTTTAGGGTTTCCCCCTGAGCCTATAACAGGATAAATATAGACTAGTATTTACAAATAAAGTATGTATCCAAGTTTGTAGTAGCATTTAATCAACTATTGATCAAATCATCAATGCATCATCCTGGTCTCATTTGAAGTTATTAAATGAAGACCTTAAAATCTTAGCTTAACAACTTTTTAACAACAGTTTTCAACCTCTAATAATTTAGTCAATATGCAAGGTAGAAACTTGTTATTTTGCATGTAATTTTACTCTACTAAACTTTTTGCTATCTGGAAAGTTTAGTTTAAAGTCAGGAAATGGTTGTATTTAACACCACTGTACCATCTTTATGAGTTCCTTGTCAGTTCGATCTTTTCTCTTCTTTTCTCTAATCCGTTTGATCGAGTCATGTTAACAGTAAATGCCCCTTGAGGTAAGTTTTGATCTGAACTAAATACTGCTGTGTATAAAAGACAACGTTCAAAGTGAGTTTGTCATTTCACGTAGTTCTAGTTACTAGTACAGTACTTAAATTAAAAGTTAATGTAAAAGAAATAGAATCGATCATTGCAATATAAGAAAGATCTGGCTTTATAATTAGTTCATTTGCAGATGTGTATAAAAGAACTGAATTGAACACTAACCGTGAAGGATTTACCAAGATAATATGGACATGGATAAATATGAGAATACTTGATAAGAACTTAGAAATGCGCAAGAGGTATATAATTATCTCGCTTGTTTAAAATGCCCAGGGTGTGACGTCATTATGCCAAATATGTTATTAATAGAATAGAGAGCCCACATTTTTAGTGCTTTAGGGGTTAAGAAAATTTGTATTTTGTCCTGAAGAAGCCCGCCAAAGGTCGAAACCGGTCGACAGGTACTTATTAAGTTGAAGCAACCTATCCTCATGCTGTTGTGATTGTTACCTTCTACTGATAAAAACTATTTGATGTTAAAAACATTTTTACATTTGATATGCACATTGTTTTAAATAACATATGTATTTTGAACTGATGAATCTTATAGAAGATATTTTTCACCACAAATTATTAATGAATGTAATTGATTTTCATTGGCTTGAAACATTGGAAATCTGTGCCAGCTGCATATAGCTTTTTTCTTTGTATTGTATTTACCATGCAAACACATAATATATTGACTGTTTTCAATGTATGTTCATTTCCTTCTATATGAAGCAACATACACGTGTGTATAGGTATGTACTGACTATAGTACTCCCAAAAGCCCAGTGCACTTATATTATACCACTGTGAAGGCAATTGAATCTGTAAAGTGATGTATAACATGGATGGTGATGTTGTCAATGTACTATTGGAGATAATCACCAGCTGGTATCTGTCAGACATTGAGGCTGTTTATGAATTATAAATAACAGATACAATACATGCATTACCAGGCACTTGTTTGTGAATTTAGGTTGATACACTGTCTCACAGCTAATTAGGTTACGAGTAAGGACAGGGTGACTTTTTCTTCCAAATAAAGACAATTTTATTCAAGTAAATGTTATTCTTAAATGTAGACAATTTCAAATTATGAGTAGGTAAATAGGGATCCTTTTTATTTGAGAAATCTCATATTTCTATATAAAAACTCTTACCTGGTATGTCACAAATTATGTCTGATTTTTTCTCAAGATGTTTTTTTTCACCAAAAGTTTTAAAAAGAAGTTTAGTAGCTAAATATGGGTTCATTTTAGTGAGTCGGTCAGGAAACTTTAAAGATTTTTTTAAGGATGACCTCATACTAGAAGATGCTATTTTCCCTTTTCACATATGATTATTTCATTTCTTTAGAGACACAAAAGTAAATTACAGTTCATCATAAACTATCTTTACCATCATTGTATATTCGCCCTATTATTCTTGTAAATTCCTCGTTAATATTTTTCACATTTTTATAAATTAGAGAAAAAACACTATAAAATAACATTGGTTACATATACAGATGATGAAAACAATTTATAATGAACAACCTTTTAAATACTTCACAATTATAAAGAACAGAAGATGGGGTGACAAAACGTTCCTGGCAATAATGGTATTTTCTCTACACTTTCATTGCCATTCAAATCAATTATTTAATAGACAATAGACAATAACTGTAAATAGAAAAATTTAAATAACTGTAAATAGAAAATCTCATTTTGATTTTCACCCATGTTTTATCTTTTGTTAACTCTAGATCTATAAGAGTATATTTTAATAAATAAGTATGCATATTTATAAGTTCTGTACATGTTTACTTTTGCAGTGGATAAAATGTTTATCCTTTATGTGCAAAAAATAGGTCAAGGTAAGACAACTTTCACTTCAATTTTTATATACCTTATCTTATTAAAGCGACTTTTTTCAAATATTCAATATAAAGTTCATCTAATAATTCAACAGACAATTTTAATTACATGGCGGTACTCACTCCGACGTGATCCCCGTCTGGGCCTCTTTTGTAAACACAGGTAAAAACGGCTTGTGGACACGCCTTCTTTCGGTTCATACCTCCACGTAATCAATGCGCTGAAAACATTCAATAAGCATGCCATACACCTTCGATTCTATAGACTTACCAGATGGAGAACTGTGTTGACAACATCTTTATTTGTCACCTGCTTCACTTTGATCAAGCCAATTAACAATCCGAATTTCAGCTCGTCATTTCCAGCTGCTTTCAGGATACCTTCTGTTGTGGTCACCTGTGCCTCCCCTTCGCCTTCTGTTGAAGACATTCTGCCACTTTGAACCGTGCAGAATGTTCCAACAATCGTCTCTTAAAATCTATCGTCACAATGTTACGTTAGTAAACAAATATACACCTTATATCTGCGAGTACGTTGATGCTTTAGACAGTTGTCGGCGAGATGCCGATGCCACTTCCGCGTCGCCGGGCTGAATGAAAGCTAGTATTTGATTGGTTCATAATAATGATATACGATTTAAAGGACATTTTTTAACAAATTAAAAGTTAAAAGGGGTGTTGAGATGATATTGTTTTCCGCTGTTTAATATCACACATAGTACAAACATGTTTATTTATAAGTAAATTTAAGAATTAAAATATCGTATCCGGAACTGTCTGTTTCCGTTTCCGTACACTGGACCCTTTGCAGTCAAGTCGGCTAGGAATTTGAAGTATTTTTTCCAACAGAAAGCGCACAGATATGTCGACAGCAGAAGTACAGAGAGTAAGTATTTAAAAATATTGTCGCACAAAGCTATATGTTCTTATTCGTTATCGAGCAAATGGTTACCATTTTGCTCTGAAATGAACAAAGATAATCGCCTTTTTGACGGGTGATTGACCCTGACATCTTGTTCCGGGATATCTTTAAATACAGTACAATGTAAACTTTAGATCTGATAACTAACCATTTTCATATGTCATAATTGAAATGTGTTCAGTACCGTACACTTTTTAATGTATTTTAAAATATGCTGCATGCTGAGTAAGCAAACGATGAATCACTCATTCATGAAATCGAATGGGCGGGGCTAACTGATTTTAGTCAAACGTTCCCCAAAGGACCAGCTGTCACACCAACTGCTTGCCCCACTTTTGAGCATTTATACCAACATACAGTTGTACTAGCCCCTACCTTTTATGAATGTATTGGTAGTTACTAGTGTTGTAGACAAAACTGCCAGGATCTGGGCCAAGTCTCATAGACTTTTGACATTTTGATATCATATTAAGTACAATCAGAGACGTATAATACAGAGATTGGCAACTTGCTCTTGGCCTTACCATTTGTCACTGGTATCGCGAGTTACGCTTTACCTGCGCCATATTGGATATACGGTTCGCTGCATTCAATAATCCTGTCCTGTTCAAAACATAATTATGCCATGAGAAAACATCGAAAATCAACGTAATATTAAAACCGTAGCTAGCTGAGATTTCCATGTGGTTTGGGAGTGCTACATTGAATGAATACTTGAATGATTAAGTTAAGAAAACACCAAACATCGAAAGATCGTGTTTACATATCGGTAATTATTCTGGCTTCAGGAGAACATGAACTCTGTTTTTGTTCTTTAGACAATTTCAAAAAGGTTTTCAGAAATTAATTACTTGATAATATTTCTAACCAGGAAATTAAAATGAGGTTGTTACAATACTTGCAAACTTTCATAATTTAGCTGTAAAAATACAGAATTTTCTGAGTAAAAAAGTTAAAATGGCGGCTTTGATGTGTGAGGGTTATTTCTATCATGACGAATTAGAACACAAACTCCGTTTTTGTTCTTTAGACAATTTCAAAAAGGTTTTCAGAAATTAATTATTTAATAATATTTCTAACCAGGAAATTAAAATGAGGTTGTTACAATACCTGCAAAGTTTGATAATTGAGCTATGAAAATACACTTTAAAATATACAAGTTAAAATGGCGGCTGTGATGTGCGAGGGTTAATTCCTTTCATGACACCGGCACTCCTTGCTCGTTCATCTTTTTATTTCAAAAACGTATTCAGATATAACATTATATTTCTAACCAGCTTCTTTATATGATCCATATATCTAGGATATGTGACATGTTGACACGAACTAACGAATACACGATCAAATTCTCACACAGGTAACTCACTGACCAGACTATCGTCACCAGGATCGATAAGCTGTCAAAACAAATACTCATAGATCTAGATCATGCATGTTTTTGCGAGATCAGCGTGAGTTGCCAATCTCTGTATTATACGTCTCTGGTACAATGTACACTGTACTTAGTTCTTGTCTTCCCATGAGTGGTTATTTATAGCATACAATTCATTCAGTGCTGTTAAACCCTGCAAATATTATCTTGTCACTCAACAGATGAATTTGGCCTTACAATTAATTACAGACATTTTTATTAATTTAATAAAAAAATCAAGGGTTTCAGTGGATGCAATGTGTTGTACAGGGATGTGTAGTGCACTACACATCCCTGGTGTTGTACCAATTCAAATTATTGTATAATATTCATCTTTCAGTCTGATAGTGCTTTAGCAAACAAAGTTAACTTTTTTACAGTTGAGTTTGTGATCCATATACGTCTGACATACAACTATAATATATACTGAAAATTGTTTCTTTCTGATTCTGCCAATCCATCATGACAGATCGAATTAAATGCACAGAGTGTGATATCGCTTTGAAAATTTCATATTAAATAATTATCTCTTTTATAAAACTTTTGCAAATTTATTAAAAAACATTCTAAAATTAATGTCATTATATCTGTCACTATGAAATGTGACACATTATTTGTTGAATTATCCCCCTTGCTATTTTTTGTTATATTATCTCCCTTACTTTTTCAAAACTTCTGAAAATTGTGTTCCAACTAATTCTTGGCATTGTAGAAAATGAGATATGCAATGAAAATAAAATTCCAAGTGTGTAAAATCAAGAAACTGGAAATAAGTAGAATATTTTACATTTACTTAAAGTTCATTGTTACTTTTGTTTGCAAGACTAAGAGTACATCAGGTGAAGAGAAATCGGATCAGAGCAAGACACATGATCATGGTCATGATCAGAAATCACATGATCAGAAATCACCCGATCAAATAAAAGATATCCAAACTGATCATGAGCACATGGACAGTAACAAGGTTGAGGTATTCAAACATATTTAACTTCCTGAATGTATATTTTTCTGGAATCTGTTTATATATATAAATTCTTTGGAGTCTAATCATCAAAGTCTCCATAAGTTTTATGCTCCAGTGATGTACTTTAATCAGAGAATGGTTCTGAACCTTGACTTCTGCCTGGTCAGGGTTTAAAAACACCAAGATTAATATTGAAAACTTTCTTTCTTTTCAGTGCTTTGAGTTTATAACTTATTTGACATAATATTGGAGCCAGACATAGCTTAATGATGACTGAAAGGATTTTATTGAGACAATTTTGTATGTTTTTCCATCAAACAACAAACTTCACATACTGGGTCTTAAATATAGTTTTTTTTCCAATCACAATAGAGAAATGAAGGTCTCTTTGTATGATTATCCCACTCCCAAGATGAATTCCCAATTAAGATTGCATTAACATATATGTGACTCGTGAAGATTGCATTGGTTGTTGTATACCAGCAGATGCTGCAGAGTGACAGCTTTGTTTTCAACTAATATATTTCTTATAATACTAGTGCAATTTTGGTGGAAAAAAACAGCTCGACAACTTCTTGAAATGATAAAATCTTGAGCAGAAAAGATCCAACATTTTATGATAAGCATACCAGTTATTTTTCAAAATTGCTGTATATATGGGCACCTGTATTAGAACTGGCACCATAATTATGTCAAATACAATATAAAGATCTATTACTGCAGATTGAGACAGAACATCTTGAGAACTTGTTTGGAAATAAACATATTAAAATCTAAATGAAGTTTCTACCTGTATGTATGTGCATGACAAATCTTTCGTGTATAACAAGTACTCGACATATTCTGAGGCACTATAGCTACTAGGTCATTGAAAGCTGTTTGTGGGAGAAAATCATAGATGTTACGTTTAAGGTGCAATTCGATTTACTTATAAAAAAAAACTTTCTATGATATTACTAGAAGGGAAAGTGTTATTAGTATTCAGTTGAAATTTTTAAAAGCTAGCTATATTTCATAGTATTTCATTAATATCTTAAGTCAAAGAATATTTTCTCAGAATACTTTCTGCATATTTGCATGAACATGTTGCATTGGTATTATGTGTAAAGTAGCTAGTATTTAGATTAAATGTACAAAATAAAATATTAGCCTCTCTGGGTCCTAATAAGACTGGAGTAATTGTACCATGGATTATAATCATGTATATACAAATGTATATTAATACATGAATCTTTTGTATAGAACACATGCTCTACATATACTGAGGCACTACAAAACCATTGAACGCTTCAATGTTTATGTAATATTATGACCATTATTACATTATAATCATGTATATATATTAATACATGATGGAATTACTTCTTTGCACCATATTAATACATGACGTGTATATTTTATGAATATATACATGTATATTTTCATCTTCTAATATATATACATGTGTATATCTGTATAAATGCATTCACTATTATTGCATGTACAATTCTATATTTGTTGTAATATACCGGGTTCTTAAAGTTGAAAAGAGAAGGGGTGCTTATCAACATGTGAGAATATAAACTACTTGAGGCTCCTCATACCGTTGCAAATCTATAATGAATTAGAAATTGCCTTGCAACTGTAGTTTGTTTGATGGATCATTTCTGAAAAGGAAAACATACCTTACAGAACTTTTATAAAAAATAATAAAGATGAAATAACCATAAATGAATCACAACAGTGTTCTGTGTTTACAATTATAACAGGGCCATGATTTGAACCCTGAACCTCCTATTATTATACACTGTCATTAAACATGTAACTGAGGGAGCTACCTGGTCTGTGGTATCAGTAGTAAGTTTACCCAATCATGTTTTAGTTATGATCCAAAACAAAAGTAAGGGGAGTTACCTGTTTGTATGGAAAAAAATACAACGGAATTCTTCAGTGACTATTTTGCCTGCAGTGGGCCCGGGATCCTTAACTTAAGTCTCTGATTGAGTGACATGAATATCAGCCAAATCTCCTTTTATTACAAAATTGAAAAAAAGTCAGGTAGACCAACTGATGAATTATTCATGTAGACATGATATATTAAATTCATGGTGTTTTTTATGCATACTCATGATCAAAGTTTTCAAATCAGTTAGCTTTAGTATTTACCAATTTGATTTGTCAAACTACTACAATGTACCAGTTAAACGAATTCTGTGCTGATATACATTTTGAACCTTAAACTTCTTCACATTGTTGAATAGTATGGAAATTGGGCATGCACACACCAAATCGAAGTTAGCGAATGTATATTCTTTCACATTCAGTCACGATCTCAGGGGACATTAGACATCACGGTTCAAAAAGAGTAGATCAGACATCATCTATATGTACACTAAATATTGTAATGTTAAGAAATTTAAAAAACAATTTTGATACTGTTCAAGAAAAATTCACAAAATATTCAATTTCTTAATGAAACATAGGGCAGAAAGTTACGCAGGAAAGTATATCATTCCAACACTGCAAGATTATTGAAAAGGTATTGCTATATAATATGTATATCTAGATTTAACCATTTCCTTGGCTGTACAATTAAAACATTGCTTGAAAACAGATAAACTGTACATGTATGCTGGTATATATATCCAGTGGATGCATGGGGTGCTTAAATTCTGGGCCAGTACAGTAAAGTTTAGAAAACATTTTTTCATTAAGTTTTCCTCAGAAGCCTTAATATGTGACGGAGTTTATATCTGCGTAATGATTAGGTAAAAAATTACATTTATGATATGATTTGTATCTTTCTTTTACTGCGTGGAATGTTTGTGACGGAATATCCAAGACTTAACGATTCACCTTTAGAGGACCTGTGGAGACTGTCCTTATCCGATCAGGTGAAACTTGAGACATTGTAGAGGAAGTCGAGATAGATCAAAACTTGGTCGTTATAAACGCAGAATTACACGCGGATGCATATTTACCATGTAGTGCAATTGCAACAGACTTCAGGATAACTTACGAAAGCTTTTTATATTAATTTAAACTTGCTAATAATTTAACAAGGCAATGAACTGTGGACCAGGTTGAGTAATATACTGGGAAAGCCACACTCTTCTTAATTAATCAGTTGCCTAAATAATGTTATTAATTAATAATAAGTAGCTTATACATGTGCTTTGACAACACAAATGCAAATTTAGGAATAATTTAGGAATAACAATAAATCATTTTTGAATTACAGTAAAACCTTGTTATGTTGCCACCATTGATATCGTCCAGCAAAATGTTGGTATTATAAATAAGTTGGATGTATAGAGGAATTGTTCAAGAAGGAAGAAAGGGTTACTAGAAAAAATTGGCAATAATAATAATAATACCGCTTTATCAGCTGGGTAGACTGGAGCAAGCTGAGTAAAGTATCTTGCTCAAGGGTACAACACATGTACAGTGCCGTGCCTTGAACCTGCAACCCTTCAGTCACAAGCCTCCAATAAAGAGTTTGTGGTTGCAAGTATAACAAGAGGTATGCTTTGTTGTGTGGGACTTGTAAAATTAAATAAAAATATATAGAAATTGGACAAATGGACTTCGAGACAATAATTTATAATTTTGCATACAGGGCCTATAAATATTATAGTACCAGGTAAGTTTATATAAGGGGCAATCCTAAAGATGGCCACGGACCCATGAGTCCGACAACTGAAATCTGCTCTTCCTTTTTATTTCCTATCTAATTTTACATAAAATCGTTCTGAATGGGTCATTGTATTTTTTATATTGACTAAAAGTTGATGAAAAATCTCCAGCATTTTGCATGTAATATATCCAATATTTTACACGGAATAAAAGTGTGTATATGATGGTATGCATACATTGTATATTTACATTTGTGTTGCAGTGCCTCTAGATAACAGTACCAACTCAAACTGTTTGCATGATTCAATGTACTACATGTACCGTTACATGACCTCTGAACCCCCCCCCCCCCCCCCCCCCCCCCCCCTATAATTAGATTATACTTGTCACTCTAAATAGCTAATCAACTGGTTAATGAGGGCAGCCTTGTCAAGTCATATTTTGCTCTAGTTGTATCCAAAATTACAGTGAAATTCTTTATTATCCCCCGCTTTCACTGAAATGGGGGATACTAATTTGGATTTGTCCGTCTGTCTGTCACGCTTCATTTCCGTGCAAAAACTGCAACAAATGTTAACCGATTTTCTTCAAACTTGGTAACAGAGATAAATGCTTTAAGGGCTCGGCCAAGTTAGATGACAACTTTCAGCAGACTTTATTTGGCAGAGTTATGGCTCGGGTACTCTTTGGTTTTCCTGTGATAATTGCTGTAGATATTGTGCAGATATTTCAACCAAATTCTGTATGCACATCCGACTCATGCTAATTAGTTTGCCGACCATTGTGATTTACGGAAAATTAATGAGGTATAAGGCTGCTTTTTTTTCTTCACATTTCAAGCTATACATTATGTCTCAACAGCACGATACTCACATGTTTAAACCTATCTTCAATAATGTTTACCTACAATATGTGCTGCAAGCAGAGGATATAAATTCCACGAATTTGCTTGTTTAATTTAAATTTGCCTGTAGTTGGTCAGGTATCCTTGAAGTACCAGTTTAATATATAATTAGATCTATATTAAGAGAAGACACAAGGACTATTAAAGTGATCTCTGAACAGAGGTGGACTCCTAACAGTACTATTTCTAAAAAGGAAACTGATTTGTTAGGATGTTAAAATACAGACGATTATTAATTAATAGGGGTGGCCTCTTGACTATATTCCACTGTATATATTTTGTGCTGATTATAAAACATTCTCACACTGCCACATTATACAGAAAAAAATTGTTATGCCACCACATGCATTATACACCAAAACCTCCTTATACTGCCATAATTATATGCTAAAACCTTTTTATACTGCCACATTTATACAGTGAAACATAATTATACTGCCATAATTATATGGTAAAACCTACTTATACTGCCACAATTATACAGTAAAACAACCTTATACTTCCATAATAATACAGTAAAACATCCTTATACTGCCATAGTTATATGGTAAAATCTACTTATACTGCCACAATTATACAGTAAAACCTACTGTTACTGCCACAATTATACAGTAAAACAACCTTATACTGCCATAGTTATATGGTAAAACAACATTATACTGCCATAGTTATATGGTAAAACAACCTTATACTGCCATATTTATATGGTAAAACAACCTTATACTGCCAGTTATATGGTAAAACAACCTTATACTGCCATAGTTATATGGTAAAACCTACTTATACTGCCACAGTTATACAGTAAAACAACCTTATACTTCCATAATTATACAGTAAAACAACATTATACTGTCATAGTTATATGGTAAAATCTACTTATACTGCCACAATTATACAGTAAAACCTACTTATACTGCCACAATTATACAGTAAAACAACCTAATACTGCCATAGTTATACAGTAAAACAACCTTATACTTCCATAATTATACAGTAAAACAACATTATACTGTCATAGTTATATGGTAAAACCTACTAATACTGCCACAATTATATGGTAAAACCTACTTATACTGCCACAATAATACAGTAAAACAACTTTATACTGCCATAGTTATACAGTAAAACAACCTTATACTGCCATAGTTATATGGTAAAACAACCTTATACTTCCACAATTATATAGTAAAACAACACTATACTGTCATAGTTATATGGTAAAACCTACTTATACTGCCACAATTATACAGTAAAAAAACCTTATACTGCCATAGTTATATGGTAAAAAAAACTTATACTGCCATAGTTATATGGTAAAACAAACTTATACTGCCATAGTTATATGTTAAAACAACCTTATACTGCCATAGTTATATGGTAAAACCTACTTATACTGCCACAATTATACAGTAAAAAAAACCTTATACTGCCATAGTTATATGGTAAAACAACCTTATACTGCCATAGTTATATGTTAAAACAAACTTATACTGCCATAGTTATACAGTAAAACATCTTTATACTGCCACAATTATGCAGTAAAACATCCTTATACTGCCAACATTTGTCCAGTAAAAAAAAATGTGTTATAAAGAGGTTTGGCGATATATCGAGGAAGTTGTATGAATAAATTGTTAAGAACAATTTTTAAAAGGACCTGGTGATATTTTGGCTGGAAGCTAAGGGGAAAAGGCAAATGGAATGAGTGCCGTTACCCAGTAGGAAGAATTAACTGTATGTGTTTATATACCATATATACTGGTATCTAAATAACAGGTTGTTCTAGATCTGATGATGGCGGATAAAAATTCAACAATTTAACGTAAAAATTTGCAGGTGATGTATAGCTACAGCATATACGTACCAGTACGTACCAGCAAACAAAATGATTTCTGGTTGATAACTTGATATTGTTGTTTAACTTTTTAACCTGAATTAAATATGCAGTTATTGACTTGGTTTGAGGGTAACAGCTGTAATGTTGAACCCAAAGACAAAATATTAACTGAGGCAATATACAAATAATGTGATACTATACATGATCGTGAGAAGTATGTGTAATAAGATATTGGTAGGTTCTGTATAGATATTATGACATGTGAAGGAATAAATTAAATATGAACCTATATGGATATAATATTTTTTCAATATGAATCAGGGATGTACAGTATTAATTTCACTAATCTGACTCCTTGGGCTAGTGACATTTTTTTATCATTTACTATTGACAACATAGGTGGGTTATATAATTAGTAGATCTAAATAAATCTAAGTCAATGTGTAAAGATGAATTATTAAAGTATGAGAAACTGAATTTGTTATAGACCGCTAGCTACAGCATGAGAAACCCTTTCAAATATATAATATAGCTTTGAAGCTTGTTTTTCATGTTCACTAAAGATCTATATGATTCCTTCATGCTCAACAACTTCCTTGTCTTATAATAATGCACATACTTTTCAGCTTGACTTCAACAACAACTAATTGTAATTCTCATCTTACGTTTCGGAGTAATTCTAACTGGTCTCGCCCAGTAACACTCTTTTTGTATCAGTCGAGATTTGTCTCAGTCGAGACATTTACTTGTACAGCTAGGAGTATACTAGGCTATAACTAAGAGCTTTTCATGCAAATCATATTACATGATGATAGTGACAAACAATATTGTAGAGTTTGCAGATATATTGTTCTCATACTTTGTATATGGTACGTACTGTCACTTCAAATATTAATCCAGAGATATTACTTTTATAAGCATCTAATTTTATGTATTTGAATTTATGATTGAAATCTATGTTTACCCAGTATAAATGTTGTATCATAATGAAAACAGGTGGAATCATTTATTTTTTAAATATGAACATCATTGCTGATCATTTTGTACCATAGATAGATTTAGATTTACAAGATGTTTGAACTGGACAAAGAGTTGTACAGTGTATAGAAGGTCTAATTTTGTCAATCCAATTTTTTATCCAGTTAATAATTATATTAAGTTATGTAATTTGTCGTTTCTAACTGACTGATCTCATGATTTCAAATTGTTTATAACTCGATTGATACCTGACTGTTTCAATTCTTTAGATGATGGATATGGATGAAAGGGTCAGCTATAGTATACGTAATTGGTTTCTCTAATTAGCTAAGTGTCATATGTGTAGAGTTTGGAAAATAAACATATGCTAATCATGGTTTTATATAATTCAATAAAATGAAATATTTTTAATTTTCTTGTTAGATTTCAAAACATTCAGGTTCAAACATTCACATGATACATGTACATGTAAAGGAAATCTCATTGGCCATATTTGTGTGTTTGTAGCCCCCAAAGCCTCCCAGTGTTGGGTCTAATACTCGGACCCTGACCTTAAACGGCCATGTTGGATTCGACAGTCTTCCAGACCAGCTGGTCAACAAGTCAGTCAGCCAGGGATTTTGCTTCAATATCCTCTGCCTCGGTACGTAAGTCGTCCAGTCACTGTAGATCATAATATAAATCATAAAGCAATGTTCATCTTCATCCTTGATCAAATTTTTAAGTGTGTGGTGAACACTGCGGAATTGACCAATTGCCTATTTAGCATAAAGTCATGTTTTGATTTAACATTTTAAGATGTTTCACAATAGAAATGCATCAGTAACTCAGTAAATTTTAGGACACATGTGTTTTCAGTCCTAGGCACATATTTATGAAACAATGTGCCAAATTTCTTATTCCAGTGATAAAGTAATTAAATTTCCCTTTTTTGTCAGTGATTTGGTAGAATCTTGGGAGAACTTAGAGCGGAATACTGTTTCCAGTGTTTAAATTAAACATCACTTTTTGACCATGTCACATAATTTTAGCAAGTAACAAAAAAGTTGGTTTGAGCACAGGCCCATATTGAGCATGAGAATAGTTTCATTAATACAGGCCTTGGACTCAAGCTTTTTCTGTGGGACTCCTACATTTGGAGAACCTACTAAATAGTATATCTCTTTTAAATGGGATTCACCAAGAATTTTAAAAGAATTTTCAGGACATATGCCAGAAAAATATTTCAAAAATCTCTTATTTCCATTTTGATTTGATTGTCAAATCCCATTATGCACTTTTGTTCATCAAATTATCTGCAGAAATACATATAAAACAGATTTATTTGAAGGATCTCCTGCAATGTAAGAATGGAGTTAATTGTTAGGATAACTAGAACCTCATTGTTCCAAGGTTTAACATTGATGTACTTGTCATGTTTCAGGAGAGACAGGCATCGGTAAATCCACCATGATGGATACGCTGTTCAATACTCACTTTGACTCCACCCAGAGCACGCACGACCTTCCCGGGGTCAAACTGAAGGCCAGTACCTATGGTAAGTCTAGATCTGACACGACCTTCTGAAGGTCAAACTCAAGGTCAGTACCTATGGTTAAGTCTAGTTTTGACACAACCTTCTGAAGGTCAAACTCAAGGTCAGTAATTATGGTCAGTCTGACAAGTCCACACAAGGTGCTTGGCAGGAAGACTAGGAGCTAACACTACCTCCTCATGGGTCAAACTCAAGGTCAGTATCTTCGGTGAGTCTGGAGAACCATAAAAATGTCCCGAGGTCAAATGTAAGGCCAGTATCTGCTAAAGTTTGAAGAGCTTACACAACATCCCAGGGATGAAAATAATGGTTTTGGTATCTGGGGTCAAACTAAATGTATCACTATCTGCAGTAAGTCTGGAGAGCTAACACAACGTCCCAGGGATCAAACTATGTAAGACTACAGTAAGGCCAGAGGGCTGACACATGGACCCCAGTGACTTACTCATTAAGTGTGAGCTACAGAGTGCTAACACATTACTTATGTCAGACACCCAGTAATTAAGATGGTTTATAACTGTGAGGTACGTCTGTTCTTTCAGAGCTACAGGAGAGCAGTGTGAGACTGAAGCTCACAGTGGTCGACAGTGTGGGTTTCGGGGACCAAATCAACAAGGAAGACAGGTCTGTATCTACTTTAAGACTGAGACAGGCTTTAAAATGTTAAAACGTTGTATGGTAGTCTGCGAAAAATGCTGGAGTTTCACTTTGCTTGGTCAATAAGAATAAAACAAAATATTATAAACATTATAGAAATAATTCCTAGTACAGTCAAACCCTTATTAAGAAATAACCGATAGGATACCCAAAAAGTGGTCTCTTTACACAGGTTGTCTCTTAATACAGGTGGTCTCTTAATACAGGTGGTCTCTTAGTGCAAGTTCAGTTCACAAAAAGTTACAATAGGTAACATTAAAGTGGTCTCATAATGCAGGTGGTCTCTTTATAGAGGTGGTTGTATAAGCAGGTTGATTGTATTATATATTTCGGATCAACTAATGTGAAATATTGTCTAATTTAATGTTAAATGTCATATCTGTACTGTGAAAGTGGATATTTCAACATGTTCATATTTTAACTCTTTGTACAATAAACGATGTGAACATTTTTCTGTTGGCTACATGGTTCTGAAATCTGTAGATCCTGAATATCTATAAACTGTAATCTGTTGATACATTTTTGTGTGAACTATATAAACATGTAATCTTTAAAAAAGAAATGCACACAATATGTGAAATAACAATAAAACAAAGGTTTGTTGGAGAGATACCTAACGACAGTTATAATGGGTTTTAATTAAATAAAACTAAATTGATATATGTTAACAGCTGGAAGCCCATCGTAGACTACATAGACAACCAGTTTGAGGCGTTCCTACAGGAGGAGCTGAAGATCAAGAGGTCACTACACACGTATCACGACACCAGGATCCACGCCTGTCTATATTTTGTAGCTCCTACTGGACACTCGTACGTAAACTCTTCTATATTTTTTTCTTTTTTAAGGATCCCTGTACCACTGCGAAAAATTGTAACTAATTGGAAAAGTTTTCCAGCTTTGCTATAGCTTTTATAAATCATTTCTGAAAAGAAACTAATACTTAGCAGAACATTTATACAACTGTGTCCTGAAAAAGCAATGGAGCCAGACCGAGGTTCGACCCTGGACCTTTGATCATTATGCTGTCGTCAAACCAAATGTGCTGCCTTGTCTGTGGTAGTACCCTTGCCCAGTCACGCCACAGCTATATCAAAAACAAAATCAAGGGGAGGTAACTGGAGGTATGAAATTTCTGAGGTTTCTCTAGTGCTTTGCCTGCAGTGGGACAGGGATCCTTAATGAACATTTTTACATGCAAATACATCAATCAGCAGGTAAGAGGAAGTTTTACAGTACTACTGATAAAATATCATGGTACTGTATTGTTGGGCTATGACAAGGTGACATGACCAGCTGAGGTGTATGTACATATACATGATTTACATACTTGGAATCCTGATATTTTGAACTCTTGTGTTTTACAGACTGAAAGCACTTGACCTTGTGACCATGAAGAAGTTGGACAGCAAGGTCAACATCATCCCAGTCATTGCCAAGGCCGATACTATCACCAAGGCAGAGCTTCAAAAGTTCAAGGCCAAGGTCAGTTAAGGTCATCGGGTTAAGTAAGGGTATAAATCATTAGTTGATCTACGAGATATTTTTTTAAAATAAGAGAATATACAGGGGGCCTGCATCAAGGTACTTTTTTATAGCCCTCACTATCTACAATTTATTAGTCCCCTACCGGGAAACCGGGGGGACTATAGTTTTCCCCTCCGTCTGTCCATGGGTCCGTCCGTGTGTCTGTCTGTCTGTGCATCTGTGCGTCTGTCCGTCTGTCCGAAGAGGTTTGTCAGCACTCTAGAGCCTTCATTCTTTCATGGATTTTAATCAAACTTTACACACATGTAAAGAATTAAAATATCTTCAACAAGTTCGAGTTTCAAGGTCATCGGATCAAGGTCAAGGTCAATATTACTATAAATAGAAAAACTTTGTCAGCACTCTAGCGTCTTCATTCTTTCTTGGTTTTTAATCAAACTTCACACAGTCATAAAGAATTAAAATATCTTCGACAAGTTCGAGTTTCAAGGTCATCGGATCAAGGTCAA